GGGTTAACTTCAATGCCTCTTTAATGGGCAAAATAGCATGGCATATGTGAAAGCAAGTACAGAGATGTAAGCAGTGAGAGGAAAGGTATTTAGGGGCAGTGGAGTCAGACCATTAATAGAACAGATATGCCTAGGAAACCATTTCTGGTTTTCTCCATTACTTCCTTTACTTTTGAAACCATAGACTCACATAAACTCCTGTTAGGTTTTCCTTATCTCCAAAGACTACAGCAGTGAGGATTCCAAATAAGGGAAAGGCATCACAGGAGCAGCAGTGGCCATTTCTATGCACCTCAGTTGTTTCTAAGTGGTTGTTCCATGTACTAAAAGTTTTCATTCAACATAATTCATTAACACTGAAGCAAAGTCAATATGGATTGTCAGGGATCCAGCAAAGGTCTTATTTTAAATTGCACCGTCAATGTAACATTTTACAGGATTCTACCTTTGCCTAATAAAGTGTGTGCCTATTTCAGGCTCTGTACAAATATCAAGTCCAGCATTCAAAACATACATGTAGAGGCACAATTCTAAATCTCTAGCAGTGGTTCTCATTCCAGCTGCATATCAGATCACTACCTGTTCAAGATTTCCAGGCCCCGTCCCAGAGATTCTGATTCAGAAGGTCTGGGTTAGATGTGGGCAATCTAGTTTTTAATAAGTCCTATAAGGGCATTTCAGTCAACTTTTAGAATCACTGTTCTGTGGTTTCTGCAATGCTATTACCTGTGTCCTGAGTTCCCTGGACATCTCATATTCTGTATTTTTTGATACTAAGATGTCTCAAATGTTTTTTGGAAGGGGATAGTAGTTATTAATAAGAACTAGCCGGAGCCCTCAGACAACAAAAGGAGCTGGAATGAGTGCAATCAATAGGTGATTAGAGGACAGAGGATGCAGGGTGTTGGTCATGAGAGGGCAGCATGCTGGACATCGCCAAGAATTATCTATCTCCATCTATAATTAATTAACCACAAGTATTTCTCAACTCTTCTTTAGTAGTATTTAAAGTTCATTCACTCCCAAATGAATTTTTTTAAAAAGCTACAGGGCAAGGAGCTCTCTTAACCCCACTGTCACCCAATTCTGATGGGCCCACCCCATATGGAGTATAACCAGCCTTTCCAGTCTTGGCACCCCACACATGCACCCAACCAGTCTGAGTATCTCTGGTCTACATTTACTACATAAAAGCCTGTACAGCTCTTTATATAATCTACATGGTACAGAGAGGCAGACCAACAAATCTAAAAAAACAAGCTGTGTATGTATTGTACATGTTATAAACTGACAATTTTTTAAAAACAGAGAAGCTAATAAAACTTATTAATTGAATCAGGACACACCAAAGTGGCATTACAGACACTTTTTTAATGACAACAGATGATAAATTTATACAAATTACAGGCTAGAATATAATGAATACAAAATCCATCCAGATAACGGTTAGAAAAGCATCATTTACAAAAGTAAATCTGATTCAAGTGGCTAAAGAACGCACGCCCCCCATTTTGAAAATTACACACGGCTTGAAATGCAGCACATCTAAATCCTCCCCCTAGTCAGTGCACTATTCAATACTACATCATATTCAATGACTCTAGCGATTTAAAGATTCTAACACTTTTAGCATCGACATCAAGAGACATCTCGTAACAGGTTCACTATGCAATACTCAAACGAGAATGTGTGAACGTTCTTTGCAAACCGTAAGGTGCTGTGCAGATGTTGTTAGCTATTGCTATTATTACTGTTCAATGAGATTTCACTAAACATGGGAAAAAGGAAGACTACTTTGTATAACTGACAAATATGACTTATAGAACATCTTAAAAGGAATGCAGATATTACCTTGAAGGACATGTAGCAATAACACAGGCAAGGAAAGTGTGGCCAGGAGTGATGTCAAGGAATTCCCAACCATTTTAAGTAATACATAAAGGATTAAGCTATTCATAGATTATGTGTAATATTTATTTATTGTTAGGTTCCCAAGGTCCCTGAAAATAATTTATTCTTTAAGGTGACTCTTTCCCCCTGAAAAAGGAAAAAGAAATCTTGTCCACTTATTAATGTGCTACTTCAGCCCAGCTCTTATAAAAATTATCTTAAACATAGCAGTACGCTCTGAATTAATAGCTGTACTATTCTGGTGAACAACACAGGGTGCTTGACAGCAGAGAAACCTGCCACTAACCTAAGACAAGTAACAAATTCTGTGCCATAGTTGAACCATTTATCAAATGGGCCTAACAATAGTTTACAACTTCATGTGAGTATAAATTAAACAATAAACACGAACTTGTCTAGAGACAAAAAATACACACTAGATAGGTTTAAAACAGGATAGATTTAAAACAGGATTTAAATCCTTTGTTTCATGTACCTCAGGTTTAATCTTTCTTTGGGTATAACTTACTCCTTGGGTATTCTTACTATATATATAAAATTTATATGAAAATGGAAAATAAACACCAAACAAGTCAATTAGTTGCTTCTTTTGGCAAAACCAATGAGATATGTGTGATAAAAACATTCTAATCACTACGAGATATTTCTGTTAGATTCCCACGAGACACAGGGACTCTTTAATGACACTAAGTCAAAACCAAATTGTACCGTTATATGTGAAATGGTATCCATTTGAAGAGCTAATGACATCAGATGCATTCTATAGCAGACTTTTCATTTTTCAGCACAACAGGGAAAAAGGATTAAATTCTGGGGGGCAAAATGGGAGGTGAGAAAGGTAACATGTTACAGTAAATAGGGTTAAATAAGTAGCTTGGATGGATACTTCAAGTTATACTTCCTAATTAAGGTTATTCTTACAATCAGTTTTCAAACAATAGTGAACATATTCCTACCTTAAACATTTATAAGGGCTCATCTGTCGCTTTCCTTTCTATACATTTTGAAGTATATACAACTGTGTAAGAGGAAATAAGTGAGGCATCTTGAAAAATGTATCTATCTGTCAAATACTGTATATTATTTACCATGGTTAAGAACAGCAGCAAACAAATGAGCTTACAGTTTAAAACTTAGGAAAAACTGCTTTGAAAACAAACCTATTTTGAAATAATCCTAAACCTAGCATTAAATTTTAACTTTCAAACACTTGGTACTACTTCCAAGAGGAAATTACAACTGCTTCTGCATGTATCCCTGGTTTAAATATTGCTGAAAATACCCATATCATTACCTATTCAGCAAATATCTGAAACCAAACAAAATAATCCAACATTGGACATTAATATTTTACAAATAGCATAAGATCCCAAAAGTACAAGAAACACCTTGGCATTATATAAAAAGAAATTTAGTTGACAATTCTAAATCCAACAGGGCACCTTAAGACAGGACCATCTAGAAATCTATCACGCAATACTTCGGACTCAAACATTATACTAAAATTGTAATCTTTATCAAACAAATGACCCTTTACATTTAAAATAACTACTTAAAGACATTTAAACTGTAGACAACATTTAACTTTAAGAATTAAAAACAGTCCTATAATAATCAATCCTGATCTTTTATTTTTCTCAACAATTAAATAAATACAAATGCCTACTTGACTTTTAGGCCTAATCATCTCTCTATTCCTTTAGTCCAGTTCCACAACATAAAAAATAATAAAGGTGAACAAACAAGTCAGTAACGGCAAACACTTCAGCAAGGGCCATTGTATTAGAATTATCAGTAACAGGAAATTTGAATTTTAGAAGAGTAAATTTTTAGTGTGTATCAAACTAACATTAGAAATGGCTTTCAAAGATGCATACATGGTATAAACCAAAATAGTGGTTATCTTCAGGTGGCAACATTATGAGGAATTTTAATTTTATTCCTGTTTGATTATGTAATTTTCTAGTTTTTTAAAGAGAACATATATTGTGGTTTTATAATTAAAAAAACAAATATTTGTGGGGGGGTAGTGTTTTTAGATTACACAAATAGTGCCAAATGGCTAGAAAGAACACAGACTAAGTATACCTAAGTATAAAATAAAAATCAAAGGTTTTTATTTTTCTTCCATCAGAAAGGGCCTCAAAAATTACCTATCTATCCAACTAATTTACTATGTGTGTGTGTGTATATATATATATATATATATAAATAAACTTAGCTCTGATTTAAAAAGACCACCAGACCAGAAATTCCAAGGAGAATATTTCTTGGGTGATAAAAATAATCCATTTTTAAGATTGTTTACACTCCCAACATATGCAAAAATGAACACATTTAAATGTATACACTATCACATACACTATAATAAAACAAAAAAACTGTAGGAAAAACTATTTTAAATGGAGCCTCCCCAAACCTTGTAATTGAAGCCTAACTTCAATGTTGAATGAGGGAACAAAGCATATTATTAAAAAGTTGGTCTGAAAAGCAGAAAGCTGGCCTGCAAGGGGACTTTAAGAAGCAGGCTGAGTGTCCCGAGCAGCAAGCTCTTTGCTTTGCTCTCTAGATCCTTCAGTAAATGAAAGCTCTTCTACATGAATGGGTGTGATTTAGCCAAGTTTTCCCATAAAATAATGTAATGAAAGATTTCTACCGGCTAGGGATTACACTTTATGTGAAATTCCTTAGTGACATTCAGATTAATTCCAGTGTCCACAATTTAAGCGACTTTCCATAGGAAATTAAAACCCCAAATCCAAGGACCTGGTATTTTCATGATAGTTAGGGAAAGTGTTCCAGTGTAAAATGAAGTTTAGATTTGCTTCACTGTGTACATCTTAATATATTCAGAGGAGTAAAACCCAAAAGCAACCGTAAGTCAAAATGCTATAAAACATTTTTTGTTGTAAGATAATTAAATTCTTTCCAGAATTATGTGTAACTAAGTTAATATATTCATTTGTAACTAATTGAACTTTTCCAAATTCTCATTTGCAAATGAGACTCATACAGTTAAAATCAATTATACAAACTATTATATTAGAAACATCAAAATTTACACTACTCAAATGTGACTCCTTAAGACAGATTTTAACATGTTCTTTCAACTTTATTCAAATCATCAGTGTCCCCCACCCTCAGCATTTACCATTTTAAAAAGATCAATTTAATGCTATCAAAAGGCGATGTTCACTTTAATCCTGTTTGCCTTCACGCCACTGTCGTGAGCCTTCATTCCAAGCCACGTACACAAAGAGGGCTAGCACCACATGGACTGCAACCACTGCAACAATAGCAGCATAAAAATAGCTGTCCCTATTGGACATCCCAAGGGCGCCTATCAAGAGAAAAAAAAGTTTCCATTTTATTCCAAAATTTACCAAAGAACCAAAAAACAAAGCATAATAATTTTTATTAGCTGTATATTTCTTAAACTAGTCAGCCAATTAAAAAGTAATATTTTGGTAATGGACTAAGTATTCATTACAAGATTTGAGTATCTTCCATATACTAAGAACATTATTTTAAACAAAACCATAATTATAACTTCATCTAAGGACTTTAACAACAAAAAGGGGATTTCATTTTCTTTTCCTTCCATTATCTGACACTAAAAGTCCATTCCCCCAAATTCCTCCTCCCATGTCAGCCAACCCCTGCTCTCGAAGAGATACTAAAAAAAAGGATCTACCAGCTATTTCACAGAAAACCATAAACAAATAAGATATCAAGCTGAAATAAGTGATGGAAAAGCTCATTTCATAAAGACTCATTATGAGCAATGTGACTTCTGAAAAGCAAAACAAACAAAAGAAAAAAATTAAGAATACCCAGTTTACAGATATAGAGAGGTCATAAAAGCACAAAATCTTTAATTGGTAAGGAAAAAATGTCTTGTTTTATGGGTCTAGGATTACCTTCAAATATATAAGATTTAGTTGTGAAATATAACCCAATAGGAACAGTGATCATCAAAGCTGTGAAGAACAGGAGCGTCTTCAGGGTAGATGCCAATGAACTTTCATTTCTGGAATAAAGTAAACAAAGATAAAATCAGAACCAGCATAGCCACAGCCAAACACTCCTACGTACCTAACACTATAAACTCCCACAGACGAGATGCTGGATAGACTGTCCCCTGGAAGCAGAGGTCAAAGAGTAAGATCAGAGGCAGGGACTCATAATTCAAAGATCCTAGAGACCCTGTTGTGGGCAGTTGGAATTTCTTCAGCTGAAATATGGGGAATATATCACCATCTTCCAGAGACTGTCATTCAAATCCAGTGTGAGAGAAAGCATCACAGCACTCCCACAGGCAGACAAACTGAGCCAACATACCGGGTGGGAGAATGAATCTGGTGCCCCAGATGTTGGAATCAGAGCTTTGGTCCAAGGAAGCGGCAGCCGCACTGGTCCTAGAGCCACCAGGCACCAGACGCTGGACCAACGGGGAAGACCTGCAGATTAACCAACACGCCTTTCCCCACTGGAATCGGGGCTCTGTCAAGGGAAGCCTCCAACACTAACCACGGAGCTTCTGGCAGCGGACGCTTCCGCTCAGTTCACCTGGCCTGAAGGAGACCAACCCGGTCAGCAGGCGAACCAGCACACCCCTCCTGCTGGAACTGGAGCTTCTGTCACCAGGAAAAAATAGAGCTAGAAGGAATACTTCAAAACACATTTTACAAGGCCAGCATCACCTTCATACCTAAGCCAAAGACACAGCAAGAAAACTATAGGCCAGTATCTCTGATGAATATTGGTGCAAAAATCCTCAATATTTTCAAACTGAACTCAACAACACATCAAAAAGATTATATATTATGACCAAGTGGGATTTATCCCTGGCATGCAAGGCTTGTTTTACCTACGCAAATTAATCTGTGATACATCACATTAATAGAAAGATAAAAACCACATGATCATCTCATTTAATACAGAAAAAGCATCGGCATACTTTCCTGATAAAAACTCCTAACCATTTACACATAAAGGTAGGTTTGTCAACATAATAACGGCCCCTTATGAAAAACCCACAGCTAATATCATATTCAACGGGAAACAATGCAAAGCTTTTCCACCAAGATCTGGTAGAAGGCAGAGATACCCACTCTCACCATGTCTATTCAACACAGTACTAGAAGTAATAACAAGAAAAATCAGACAAGAAAAAAAATAAAAGCCATCCAAATTGGGAAGAAAGAAGTAAAATTATCTGTATTTGCATCACACTTCCTAATTTAAAATCACATTATAAAGTTATAGTAATCAAAACTGTATGTATTGGCATAAAAACACATACCAGTGAAACAGAGAGCCCAGAAATAAATCCAAACATGTATGGTTAACTAATTTTTGACAAGGGTACCAAGAGGACAAAATGGGGAAAGGATAGTCTCTTCAAAAAATGGTGCAGGGAAAATTGGATTTCGACATGCAAAAGACTGAAATTGCACTCTTATCTTACACCACCCACAAAAATCAACTCGAAATGGATAAAATAACTACAACATAAAAACAAAGTTTTAAGGCATAAAACTCCTAGAAAAGAACATAAGGAGAAAGCTCCTTTACACTGATGTTGGCAATGATTTTTTTCGGTATCACAACAAAAGCTCAGGCTACAAAAGCAAAAATAAGTAAATGGGACTGCATTAAACTAAAAAGCTTCTGCACAGCAAAGGAAACAGTCAACAATATAAAAAGGCAAATTACAGACTAGGAAAAAATATTTGCAAACCACCCATCTGATCCCCAAATTAATTCAACAGCAGAAAAATCACCCGATTAAAAAATGGGCAAAGCACCTAAGCAGACATTTCTCCAAAGACATAAAAATGGCCAAGAGATACACAAAAAGGCGCTCAACATCACTAATCATCAGGGAAATTCAAATTAACACCACTATGAGATATTACCCCACACCTGGTAGGATGGCTATTATCAAAGAGATAACAAACGTTGGTGAGGGTGTGGAGAAAGAGGAACCCGACTACACTGTGGGTGGGAATATAAATTTGTGCAGCCATTATGGAAAACAGTACGGAGGTTCCTAAAGATACAACCCAGCAATCCCTTTTCTGGGTATATACCCAAAGGAGATGAGACCACCATCTCATAAAGATAATCTGCACTTCCATGTTCACTGCACCCATTATTCACAACAGCCAAGATATGGAAACCTGAGTGTTAACAGACAAAATAAAAAAACTGTGGTATGTATACCACCATATTATTTGGCCTTAAAAAAGGACACCTGCCATTTGCCACAACATGGATGGACCTGGAGGACATTATGCTAAATGAAACGAGCCAGACACAGAAAGACAAATACTGCATAATCTCAATTATATGTGGAATCTAAAAAATATATATATCAAATATACAGGAATAGAGAACCATGGGGGGGCAGGGGGAGGAAATGGGGAGAAGTAGGGTCAAAGGATACAAAGTAGCAGATATGTAGGATGAACAAGTTTAGAGTTCTAACATACAACAAGAGGACTATAGGTAATAAAATTGTATTAGGGAGTTTTGTTACATAAGTAAGATTTAACTGCTGTAGTCACATACATACACACACACACAAAACTATGTGAGATGACTGATATGTTAATCTGCTTCACTATAGTAATCATTTTACTATCTATATGTATTCCATAACATCATGTTGTGAATTTCAAATATACCCAAAATTTTTAAAAAGACCTGTACAAAAAACCCCCCACAAACACTGGGCAGAATATGTAACACAGTAGATATAACCACGTCTATTTCTTGATTACATGCCTTGCACGTGTGTGAGTAATTAAATGCTTATTGGTGTAAAAACAAGTTCTAATATTTTCATTTGGTACATGAATCTTTTAACATATCTCACTTATTACTGAGCTATAAAACTCTCATCTAATATATGTAAGCTCCTTAAACTGTTTCCTCGTAGTAAATTTTTAGAGGAATTTACTGTGTAATCTTCACGAAGAATGTGATTGTCTGCATTAAAGGATCTACAAAGAAAACCAAAAAGTCACTATTTGGCCACCTCTTTTGTGGACCCTAAAAAAACACTTGGCCTATCGTGTTTCTATGGTGAGTAAAAGTATGTTTTAGGTATGCAACTTTCAGATTATCTAACTTGATAAATGAACGAAGCTTTGAGAATGTAGAGAAAGGGAAGGTTAACTGATTATTTTGTTCTTTAGATTACCTCTTTTGCATATCTATTATCTGGCCTGGCTTTTAAAAAGTTTATTATTGAAAAGATGATATAACACCATAAAATGTTTTAAATTAAACAAAATCACTTGCAATCCCACCACTCCAACATAACCTTCTCTACATGTTAATTTCTAGCTCCAAGGCAATCTACACACAGCATACCTTAACAATTTGTAGCTCATCTTCAATTTCATCTCACTTATCTCTTTACTTCAAACTTCAAAAATCTGACTACTTTCCTCATTACTATGTGATTTCATTACTATGGAACTAAGTACAAAGTCAAAGTTAAGTGAACAAACTTTTAAAAACTAGCAAACTTCCTCTAGTGTTTATAGGACGTTTTCTCCTTGGCTTCCAGGCACAGCAGCTGTTGGTTCTGCCGGCACAAGCCAGCTTGGGTAGAATCAATGGTTTATTCCAAAATAAAGTAACTGATGTTATTCGATTGATTTCTTCCACGTATCTCTGATTGGGTGTTACTGAGCAGAGACTTGTTAGAAATTAGGAATGGGAAAGGCCAGAATTAAAGTTGTCCTCATACAAAGGAAAAAGTTCAAGATGAACCTTACTGTGCCCCCACTCATAATACCACCTAGAGTTTCCCCACGTCATACAAACTTCTGCAGCAAACATTGAGCAGATGGAGCCTACCACATTCCCTTTTGTGGTAAACAAGACTTACAACAGAATTCTTTCTTCCACTGCCAAGATTTCATTGCATATTCCATTAGGAAACTAGAATCAGTCTAGGAGGGCTATAGTGTATTCTAAGTGTATCTAATAAAAATATCTGTTGGTATCCTCATAAGTGAACAGTAATTTAAAAAAAAAAACCACATTGACATTGTGGGGGAGAAAAAAGATCACAGGGCTCCAAAAATCACTGGTTTTGGAGTTAGTGAGCTTGCTCAAATGCCAGCTTCAACACTTACTAATTGTGTGGTCTAATTGTGTGATCTTGGGCACGTCACTTTCCCTGAATCAATAAAATCAGGAAACTAAGCAGTTAGAGAAATTAAGAATTAAGATAATATATGTACAGCACCTACACTAAGCCTGGCACACAGTAGATCTCAACGAATGGTAAGGTAACTCCCTCACTACTCCCTTGCCTACTGAGGTGGGTCAGAGCCACCTGCTCTCTCACAGATTCCTTTTGCTCAGCCACCAGCCCCCATCCTACTGACTAATTCCCCAAGTGAAGCAGTCCCACACCAGGGGACTATTCCTTTACATTCATTCATTCATACAACAAACGTTTATTAAGCCCTGATGATGCAGGCCCCATAGAGAACAGGAGATGAAGGAGGCCAGGTTTCTGTCCTCAGAAAGTTCACCCTGCAATGGGGAGATTGCAGACAGCAAGATCACAATATAAACGACAGTTGGGAGGAAGTGCTAGGATAGGAGCACGAGCTGAAGGCCCAGTGACCTATCCTCCATGACCTCGGATTCCTTTTTCCCAAGTGAAAGGTCGGGGCCGGGCGTGCAGACGCTGCTTTCCCTTTCCCCCACCCCGCAGCCGGACTCCACGCCCACCCTGCTCAGCTAGGGCCTTCCCTCATGTCCCGCTCCAGGCTGGGGCCAGCCCGCTTCGCGGACTGGGCCCCGCTCAGGGCTACCTGAACTCGGGCGGCTGCAGCGCGTTCAACGCCGCTTTATCTAGGCGTTCCATGGCGTCGCCGGGCCGGCAGCAGGCGATCGGCGACGGGCTGGACTCGGCGGCCGCGCTCAGTAGGCCCGGCGGGGTACAGTTCGAGACCGCCCGCGCCGGAAGTGCCGGTGAGCGCCGGGAGGCGGGCCGCAGGACGCAGGCGCGGCGCCGCGCGGCGACGCAGAGCTGTGGCAGGCGCAAGCGCGGGTGCGGGGTGGACATTCACGTGACTTACCGGCGGGGGCTCCGCGGCGCGCGCCCTGCCAGGAGCTGCCTGTGCTCGAGGAGCAGGCCGGGCGAGTAGCCCAGCCATTCCACGTTGAGCCGGGACTTGCCGCGCAACATGGTTCTACTGGGCGGGCGGCGTAGCCGCCGCCCCGTGAGCTCACTTGAGCCTCTCTTGTCTTCGTCTCGGTCCCTGTAGCTGAGCTGGGGCTGCGAGGATACCCAAGTAGATGAGCTGTGAGGAAGGACTACCAGGCAGACGGCAGTGGTGCTAGGCAACTGAGCAGATTACGACGACGACAACAACACAAAAAAGCAATGCACGTTATTCCACCAGTAAACAAATGCCTCATTAATTACTGCCCGCAGTGGAAGGCAGTCCAGCCGTTGGAAGCTGGGAGGAGTTAGTATAACACTCACCCAATTCCATAAAACTACAGAATGTCAGAGTTGAAAAAGCCCTTGCTGAGAGCGACTGTTCCAGGCCCGTTGCCGGTGACCCCAACTTCCACTTAAAAGTTAAAAACATATTTTGCAGCTGCTCAGAAAGCCGCCAATGAGACAACAGGGACTCAAATAGTAAGGACAGATGGGCCTCCGGGGCCTGCGCAATCTGAGAGAGGTATAAACGAAAAGGGTGCGTAAGCCTGGGGTGAGGCTTGACAAAATTAGGTTGCCACTGGCTGCTAATAAGAGGACAGCCCTTACATGGTCAACGCCTGGAAAGGGCCACTGACCACACATCTATTTTCTGCACCACAAGGATACAAAGACCACTTCTGAAATCATGACTAAACCAGCAGCTTAGAGCCGTGGAAAGGGCAATGGACTGGACAGCAGGAAGCCTGGGTTTTAGTTCAAACTTAGTAATCCATCTCTGGACTTCACTAGGTGAGTAAGAACCACCTAATATAAGAACTAGAGGCAGAACTAGAGAGAATCAATCTAGGTCTGGGGTAGGCAGACTGTGGCTGGCCAACCAAATACATACAGCCTGCCTTTACAACCTGTGAGCTAAGAATGTTTTTTCCAATTTTAAATGGTTGAAAAAGTCAAAAGAATAATATCTCATGGCACAGGAAAATTATAGGAAATTCAAATTTCAGTGTCCATAAGTAAAATTTTGGAACCCAGCCGTGCTCATTGGTTTGTATTGTCCACAAGGCAGCACTGAGTAGTTGTGACAGAGGTACTGCTCTGTAAAGTCCAAAATGTTTACCATCTGGCTCTTTCACAGGAAAAGTTTGTGGATCCCTGCTCTAGCTAATCAACCCACAATGAGGTCTTCGAACCCCTAGGGACCCATAAATGTAGTAATGGTGGTTCTGAGGACAATTTTTAATATTCTTTAAAACCTAATGAATGTGTTTACTTGTTGTATAAGGCATCTAAAGCTACTTAAAACATCACGTTTCTTTGATTTTGACATAAATTATATCACAATGAGTTTATCCTGGTTATCTCATAGGAAAATACTGTACACAGATTATTACTAAAATAAAATAAGCCATAGTATATGTGGTATACTAAATCTTTTAAAACAGAATGAACATGAGAAGAGGGGTCTTTGCTTTGTGACTTCATGTATTCCCAGTGCCTAGTATATAATATATAGTAGGCACTCAATAAATATTTGTTAAATAAATGAATTGGGTCCATAAGAGGACAAAGAGTGAAAGAGTTCTGGGTGGTGAAAAGATTGGGAACCACTTACATAGTTGGATTAGTTTGCTGGGGCTGCCATAACAAAGTGCCACAAACTAAGTGACTTAAACAACAGAAGTTAATCATCTCTCAGTTCTGGAGGGTAGAAGTCTGAGATTAAGGTGTCCACAGGGTTGGTTCCTTCTGAAGGCTGGGAGGAAAGGATCTGTTCCAGGCCTCTCCCCTAACTTCTGGTGGTTTGCTGACAATTTTTGGTATTCCTTGGATTATAGAAGCATTACCCTGATCTCTGCATTTCTCTTCAAATGGCCTTCTCCCCACATCTATATCTGTGTCTAAATTTTCCCTTTTTATAAGGACACCAGTCATACCGCATAAGGCGCCTAGCCTACTCCCGTATGACCTCATTTTAACTACTTACATCTGCAATAATGCTATTTCCAAATAAGGTCACAGTCTGAGGTGCTAGGGGTTAGGACTTTAGCATATGAATTCGGGGGCTGGGTGGGGACCCACAATTCAAACCCACAGCAGTAGTCTAAACTCCTTGTTGTATAAATGAGGAAACTGTGGCCCAGAGAGAGCAAGGGACTTGTTGGAAATCACACATCTATCTCATGGGGCCTAGCTCGACTCCTGACTCCCAGGCCAGCACTTTTACACTGTCATATTAGCAGCCTGTGTAGCAGTTGTATGAAAACTCAAACAGGAACCATTCATAAATGAGATTTGATGTGTGGCAAAGTGCCATACATCTAATCTAATTCACATCTTAGTGTTTTTTTTTATAAACTGAAGCTCTTGTTCCTCTTTTTCTTGTTGACTTACACACTTTACCAACATTCACTGTGCACACATTGACGTAGAGAGAGAACTTTTAGCATAAACTCAGAAGCTGTAAGAGAAGGAAAGAATTTAGCCAGCATTCTTCCCTCAACAAAGCCCTGAAACCGCCTACCTGCAGCAGCTGCTCAAGAATTAGAGGCAAGTGGAGCCCAAACACAGCCGTTGCCATGGGAATGAAATAGCATGTCAGGGGGTGTGGCCATTACAGAGAAATCCATAGTAGTGCCTCAGTTATTCCCTGAGAATCAGTTTCTGATTCTCAAACTGAAAGAGCCCCAGTCTGGCACTTTCATTTTAGTTGAGAAAACTGAGAGCTAAAGATAGGAAGTGACTTGCCTCAAAATTCCTGGGTCAGCAATAGGATGAAAGAATTTATAGTTCTTAACTCTCAGTCTAGTGTTTTCTCCACCACATTGTTGTAAACTTGTACTATTAACCCAGTGACATGGAAAATATACACCCAAAGTCAAATTTTGCAAACCTCCTCCCCCAGTTTGCTTTACTGACCCACAAAATCATAGTCCCCTGCAGTTCTCTTTTGGGTGGCTGGCTGTGGGGTTGGATGGAACCACCATACTTGAAATACCAACTGATACTTTCCAAAGCCTAGCCCTGTACAGCTTGGTGTTTTTAAAACTAAGACATAAGAAAAATAGAAATAAGCTCCACCATACAATCAATAAAACTCATATTTAAAAAAAAAAGAGTGAGACAGACAGTAACTCTGGCTTCTCTCTAATGTAGGGTGTGATGTCTTTTAAAAAAAAATACGGGGGGGAGGGGGCACAAGGGCAACATACATAACCTAAACATCTGTACCCCCATAATATGCTGAAATAAAAAAAAATAAAAATATAAAAAAATAAATACGAATTGGTAAAACATGCCCCCTATTGAAAAAACAGTTGCACTTCTAGGGGAAAAAAATTGGGTCTAAGCTAAAGGTTATTATATTATAGTAAAAACCTCCACTGTCAGGACCCCCTAGATAATGAATTGCATTTTACTCAAGGGTCTTTGTCACCTCACATTGGCCTCTGGCCACCACTGTTGCCCTAAAGCACGTGTCTTGTGCTTCATTTTACTGAGCATGTTCACAATTCCTACAATTTATACTATGCCCATTTCATAGGAGGGAAAACTGAGGCTGAGAAAAATTTCAGAGTTTGGTAAAGGCCTCATAATGCCCTTTGTCTCCTGATGCTCAATCAATTGCCCTAAAGTTTACTCGGGCAACTTCTTCCAGCTCTATCTGACAAACAGCCAAGCTGCCACCTTAGAGTCAGTGAGGGAGACTTTGCTAATAGAGTCAGGGAGTGCTCAGGGTCCATGGCTCAGGACTGTTCTCACCCACCTGCCCCACCTACACAGCACTAGTAGAGTCCGTGGACCTTCTGGCAAAGAGAAAGTAGGCACTGGGGAGTCGTGAAATGGGCCCTGCTGCCTGCCCAGCATGGTGTGGGGTCATCCTAGGGTCCTGCATCCCCTAGCACACCAGTGGCTTGATACAAGAAGAGGAACCCCAGCCCATGAGGGGCGGCAGGGCTTCAGTTACCAACCTCAAGGTGAAGGATCCTGGCCCAAGTGCTTTCCAGATGGGCGGGCAACCAGACTACTCTATGAGAAGAGAAACTAGGCGAGGGCACCCTGAGGACTGATGTCCCCAAGATACACACACGTCTTGCCCCAAAAGGGCCAGACTCTGAGGGGGTGCTCCCGAACAGTTGGCTGAATGAAAGAGCGAGTGCCAGCGCCGAGAGAGCAGGCCAAGACTCAGGGCCCGGGGTTTGGGTGCCAGAGCCCTAAGAAGCGGCTTTCTACGCGGTCTTCCCTGGAGCCAAGGGGGTAGGGCGGGGCGGGGGAGGGCAGGGTACGGCCCGCTTCCACCTCAGGCCTCTCTGATTGGTCCGGAGCAGCGCGTCTTTCTTGCCGACAGGGCCGGGGCCTGGCAGGCCCGCCCACCCGCAGCCCAACAGAGAAGGGTCCCTGCGTGGGGCAGTCTGCAATCCACGTAGTCCAGCCGCGGGGCTCTAGCTCTCCATCCTGTGGAAGCTGGCACCCCCAGCCCGAGCTGCATTCCCAATATTCGTTGAATGAAATAAATGCATAATTAATAAATGAGTCAGTGAGTGAGAAAACTCATTCCAAGGGAAAACCCAAAATTCTTACAAGATCGCAATGCGAAATAGCTATAAATTTTGCTTTGGGTGGTGGTGGTTGTTTTTCCTGTTCTCCTTTTTAACTTTTTCCGCGATGAATTGAAAAAGCTAGAAACGCCAGAGAGGGGGACAAAGCTGCTGCAGCAGGAAAATGAAACCTAGAAGAAGCAAGACAAGGAGGAGATGGTGATTTGGGCATGGATAATTTAAATATATAATAAAAGATGAAAAAAGTGCTCCA